ATGTTGCCCTGTCTTTGCTGGAGGCATAAACAGTTTGCTAACACATTAACCATATCAGCTTCATAAGGCCGCAATATGTTAAATGTGTGATTTTCTGCTTGGGTTTGGAGTTCTTCCTGATTAAAACTGATTAATGCAGCTTTAAAGACCTTAAATGCCAGTGGATATTATGCTGCAGGGATGCCTATTTTTAAACAATTTATTAATCACACTTAATCAAATTAGCACAAAACAGTTGACACACATTGAACTAGGGGCTTTTAGAGGCTTTCTTGCTTGCTTTGCTCAGACACGTAATGATGTAGAACTGAGATGTGATCCCGCTTGTGGAAACATTTGAAACACATCAGAATTGATGGAAGTTTGAACACACTGGCCTTTGTTTAACCATTCTCTTTGAGGCTGTGTTTAATGATGCAGCACATACAGTATGAGATGTTAAGAGCAGCTCATTGGACAAGATGTGTTTACGGCTACTCTGCCAGACTCTGACTGTCCTCTGCATTGCCCTTCCTGAAAGATTCACTTATTTGGACTCAAGCACTTTTACTCGTGCAGCAGTATGTCTGGAGAGGGAGAGAGTAAAAATGATGTCTGGAGGACGCCGACTGGCATTAATAATTAATCATCTTGTGCTCCTCTCCTCCACCTTCCTCCCCTTCTTAGTGTCCTGAACCTGGCTGCTGCTGCTGCTGCTTCGATAAGATCTGTCCAAAGAGGCTGAGAGTCAACGCAGCCTCAGAATAAAAAGATTGCTCCTGCACAGTCATTTCCTTCAGCAAATATAAATCCAATTATCAGATAAATCAAAATTTCACTAGAAGCCATTTGTATGCAGATGATGTTCCAGATGTGATTAACACCTTTGTGTTTTCATAGAGTTCAGTGATTTTCTTCCATGACCCATAACATGCTCTGAGATCAACACTTCCCTTAAAGTGAGGAGGATAACATCATTTCCCCCCGATTAAAATGAACAAAGCGAGTATAAAGGCCAGATTTAAAACATTCTTATATTTTTGAAAGCCACACTTTCACTGCTTTTCCAATTAACCTTTACAGGATAAGTTCTGTATGCTTGTGAAATTTCATCAATCTCAGCAGTGTGTGGCACACAGCATTTATTTGGCTCCAAGCTAAATAACACACGCTGCCTCCATCTCCTTCAAATTAGCATACTGTAGTTCTCACTGCTGTCATGAACACAGCTCACTAATAAACACAGCTGTCTCTGAATCGGTTCCAACAATCACTTGCGATGCGCTCTGTAATCTGAGGTTAACCAAAGAGATGTTCATGTGCTGCTAAACACAGACCGCAAAGCCAGCCACACCGGAGACATTTCCTCTGGGTCTTTGACTCAACAAAACTAATGCAGCACACATTCAGATCTATTAGCATGCATGTTTAGTTTTTGTTTTGCTGTCTGGTTTCGGTATGTGTGGACAGCTTTTTTTTTGTATCTTGTTTCAAAGAGGTGAGGAGTCTCGCAGGCTTTTCTCGTAATATTTTACCTGATATAAAACACTTCAGCAGAAAGCATGTTCCAAATCAATAGCAGCAATGCAGAGCTCATGAACAGTGTTATTAATCTTTTAAAAAATAGTATGTATTGCCTCTGTGCACTGCAATTGTACACTCGGTTGTAAATGCTACAACGATGTACATCGTTTTATATAGGAGGGTGACGAATGAACATGCTGTAAGGAGGCTAAAAGAGGATTTTATGGGGCAAAACTGGGAATCAGTTTACAGAGAGGAAGACTTAGATAAAGCATATGAGCAATTTTTAAATATATTTAAGAAAGTATATGACAGGAACTGTCCTCGTAAGCAGTATAAAAACAAAAG